GTGCAGAGAAAATAATAAAGAGTCCCACGCTAACCCTGCTTAATTAATACATGAGTAAATAATAGCTTTGTTAATAAAATATGGGGATATCAATATTTTTGAGGGCTACAACAACAGACAACAACTCCATTTGGGTTTGGAATGCATGTTCCACTTCCAAATCTTCTTCGAAAGCACAAATTTTGGCATTTTTCCTCTTCTGCTGCACTGGTGTTTGAGCAAGGTGTATCACAAGTTACTGGAACTAAATGTCCAATCTTGTCTTCCACATCTGACATCAAATTAAAACAAAAGTTAGACCAAAGATGATACGAGGCTTTAACAAAATTTTGATACAAAAGCCCTTACAAGCTTATAATTTTCTATTCCTGTATGTTGATATGATAAAGTAAGCATACGTTGATGTATAGAACGATATTATTTTTTTAGTAAGAAAATGAACGAAGAAGTCTCGAACTTTGAAACTAGTAGATTAATTTAAGACAATAAATAACTTGAAGATTTGATTTAATGGCAATTGGAATTAGGATGTCACAAAGGAAATAACTTTATGAAAGTTGAGAGAGGGAGGGAGAGCGTTTATATGAATAATTGAATTTTTAAGAAAATTTGAAAAGCTTTAGTTGGGAAGGAAAAAATAAAAAATAAAGTAAAAAAAATTTAGAGGTAGAGAAGCTTATTAATCATGGGAATTCTAAAAAAAAAAAATTAGGGGTTTTTTTCAATATAAAAATTACTATACATTATTACTTTGTATTTTCATTATTTTATACTCTAAATTATATTTATAATTTAAAAATAACAATATTAGTATATATTATATGAAAAATATTAGGCCTTCTAAATTTATTTGGGGTTTTGGACGATGGCATCGCTCTCTTATAGCCTTCCAATCATAAGAAAAAGAGAGCTACGACCAAATTAAAAGAAAAGAGAGAGTACGAGAGCAAACTAAAAGGGAAAGCAGGGCCATTGTAGCCAAAGAAACCCATAAAAACTTCTGCATACTTCTTCTCCCAAAAACCATATATTTTCATTCAAAATATGATTGTAGCCTTTGAAATTCACTTTATATAATAAAATTAACTAACACTTTTATACTACTATTTCCTCACACATTAATTTTAACCTACAATTAATGCTCTTTCCTCACAAGTAGATACATGCATATTCATAGATATATAAGGCAATGCAAACACAGCATGAGAGTCTAATATTATTAGGAAAATAAATACTCTCCCCCTCTTCAACAATAATGTGATAAAACCACATTGTCCACTTTGAATTTTTGCTCTCACATTCCTAATGTAATACTATTCTTCAAAATATGAATTATTTAGGGTCGATTTGATAACCGTATTCAGTTTTTGATTTTGGTTTTTAGTTTTTAAAAACAATATTGTTTGATAACCAATTCAATTTTCAGTTCTTTGTTTTTTAAAATCGTTTTTTAAATCTTGATAAATTTTAAAAAGAATTTAATTTTTAAACCTACCTTACTTTTTTTTGTTTAACCTATTTCTTTCAAATAATTTTTTTTATTGCTCTAACATATTTTTCTACCTAATTAATTTCTCTCTCAAATATTTCTCTCCCTCTTTAAAATTTTTGTTTGTACATATTCATATTTTTCCTTTTTATTCTAACATATCAATTTCTTTTTTTTCGTCTAAAAATTTAATATATTTTCGAACCTTTCTGATTCTTAAATTTCACATTTATAACTTTTTTTTTCCTCTAAGAAATATATCTTCAACTTTTCTCTAAATATTTTCTTGTACAATTTTATTTCACTGGTAACTTTTGTTTCTCTTTACTTTATGTAACAAATATATTTAAAATTTTTTTTGTCCAAATTTTGTTCTCACTCTAATTTGTCTTTTTCTTTCTTTCTTTTTTCTTTTTTTAACACGTAATTGCTCTCTCAACTTTGAATCTACATTTTTCTATTTTTTACTTTAACTTTTCTCTGACCCTCTAAAATTTTTCTTTCAAAATTTTTTTTATCACTCTAAACTTTTATTTTCATGTCTCTACATCAGAGACATAAAAAAATTATCGTAGGGTCAAGTCCCCGCTTTAAGAACATAGAATAAATTTCTCACCATATCCCGTCTCCCATTCTATTTTTAAATAATATTATTTGTTTTGTTAAATTATTAAATAAATATTAATCTAATGATAGCAAATAATAATTTTTTAGTAAAATAAAATAATATATGTTTATTACTTTTTATTTTTTAAATTCTAAAACTAATTAAAATGAATTATTAAACAAATAATTTTTCTCGTAAAGATCCTCGCTTCCAAATGAGAATTTCTCAACCTGGACCTTGATTCCTGAAATCGAAGAAAAGAACGAGTTGGAGATGAAATAAAAAATTTCATGGAAGAGGGCATGTCGACTCCTACCCCATACCGTTGTCATCTCTAATATTTTAGATATATTTTTCTATCTCTAACATATATTTTCAATTTTTTAACTTTTTAAAAATAGAAAATAAAAAATGG